GGGGCTGACAGACAGAGACTTTCTGCAATCTTGGAATCATCAATAGCTCAGATTCCAACATCAGCTTTTATTTTTGGGAAAACTCAGAGCTGTTCTTTGTGCTCTCCCTGACCTTGCTGCTTTTATTTTGCTTTTCCTGTGTGAGCTTGGGAGCTCCTGGGAGCAGAGAATTGGCTTTTGTTTTTCAGTTTTTTTTCCCTGTGTGTGTTCACATCTCTGTTGATTTCTAATCCCAGCAGTGAGTGTGCACAGGGGTTTCCAATAAATGCACTTCCCATGAGGTGTCAGCTGGGTTCTTGCAGCTTGCCCCATCCTTTGTCAAAAGGAGAGAGCATGATCCCATCTTTTGGAGCAGATGAAGGAAAAAAATACTAAAAAAACCCACCAAAAACCACTAAAAATTAAAAAAACCCCACCAAAACCCCAAACAAACAAACAAACAAAAACATCTTTGAAAAACCCCAAACAAAAACAAAACAAACAAAAAAAACCCCAACAACAGCAACAAAACAGCCCAAAACCAAAATCTCTAAAAAATTGCTAATCTGAATTGATTATTTGAGTCATAAATGCAATTTTCCATCCTGGATGCCTGCCCTTTGATCCAGCACCCCTCTGGCACTGGGATGCACAGGCACCTATTGATGTGTCAAAAGGAAAAACAAATTCAGACTTGTATAGGTGAAGTTTGAGAGAGAGGGTTGGGAACTGAGAGTAAAACTCCTGCTTAAAAGAAAGAGTAATTAATAGAAATTGTTTGATTAAAAATGCTGAATACCTCAATGAGATGCAGACAGTAAAACTGCTTAAGTGAAAGAGTAATTATTAATATAAATTGTTAGATTAAAAATGCTGAATACCTCAGTGAGATACAGAGAATAAAACTCCTGCTTAAGTGAAAGAATAATTATTAATATAAATTGTTAGATTAAAAATGCTGAATACCTCAATGAGATGCTTGTGCCTCTTTTTGGAGGGGGTGGACCAGGGATTTTATTACCCAGCCAAGCAGGCAGATGTTTCCCTTGGGCTTTGGTGACATGAGTGATGTTTCCAGGTTATTTTCTCCATGAATTGGAGCCCCCGTGCTGAAATGGGGCTGGATCTGTGCAGTCATAAAAAGGTTCTTGTGTTTCTCTCTCTGCCTGGCTCTCGTGGCTGCTGGGTTGGACCCCCTTTCCAGGAGAGCTGCCTCACATCTTGAGCTGCCTCCAGCTCAGAAAAGCTTGGCTGGTCAGTGTGAATAGAAACAAATGACTTTGAAGCCTGCAAACTTGAATTCTGCTTTATTTTTGCTGGGTTTGCATAACTTTAGTGACCAGGAGATGAAACGTGCACTTAAACAGAATCACAGTCTGCACTTCTAGATGCAATTTGAAGGAGATGTTTTATCCTGCCAGGGTTTGAAGTTCTGTATCTGGAATTGTTTTAAATCTGAGAAGTGTTTGAAGGGATCCTGTGTGTGTAGGAGGAGAAATACCTCTCCCTTTGCCTGTTCTCGTGGCCTGCCTTTGCCAGAGCTCTTGCTGCTTTCTGGCCTGAGCTGGCAGGCAGGGCTCACAGGTTTTAATGAAACCTTGCTGAACAAAGGCACTCTGTGTTTGAGCTCTGTGCCCCGAGTCTGCCCCACCAGCCTGGCTGGGCATTTCTGTTAAATGAGGTCAACACATATAGACAAGCTGTGTTTTGCAAATTAACCCCAAGCAAATCATAACAAACAACAGCAGCCAAAAAAAGTGCCTTTCTTTAAGTCTGCCTCTTTCTTGTTTCGCAGGCAAGAAGAGAAACCCTGGGCTGAAAATTCCTAAAGAAGCTTTTGAGCAACCACAGACAAGCTCCACGTAAGTCTGCAAACACTGAGGCAGAGTGGAAAGCAAACCACGAAGCCCAGCTGCCTTCCAGCCTTGGCTGGCACCTGGCAGTGCCCAAGGCCAGGCTGGATGGAGCTTGGAGCACCCTGAGATAGTGGAAGGTGCCCCTGCCCATGGCAGGGAGTGGAATTAAATTATATTTAATGTCCCTTCCAACCCAAACCATCCTGGGATTCTGTGACAATTTCTCAGCCCTTGCATTTCCCAGGGGGTCTCAGCTCCATCTGAGATGCATCATTCAGTCTCATGTGCAGTAAAATATAAAAAGATAAAGACAAAAAGAAAAAGATAAAAAAAGAAAAAGATAACAACCAGAATGGGCCCCCAGTTTCCACTGGTGTGGCACTTCAGCCACCAGTTTGAGTAGCAGGCATTTGGTCAAGGCACAAAACCTCCTCCCTTTCCCTGCCTGCTCAGCCTTGCAGAAGGAATCCCTGTTTTTGAGGCCCTTTGTGCAACTCCAGCCTGCTTGGCTTTCTTTGCTTCTGTGGGTTGAGTGTTTTTAGCCTGTCAGCCTGTGCTGTGTGACTGAGGTGATGATTTACAGCAGATTTGGATGTTCCTGCCTGTTTAATCCATTTTTCCTGCAGGCTGGCAGAGATTTGGTGCTTGATTTCACAGTGAATCCCGCTGGGATCCTGCAGGGGCAGGCTGGGTGTGAAAAATGCCAATTGCAGTCACTTTTTCTCTTTTTTTGGGGTGACTTTGTGGATCTGTTGATCCTGCAAAGCCAGGTGGCTGCTCAGGGCTGCGGCGAAGGTGTGAGGGGATGCTTTGGGGGCTGGATTTAGTCACTGAGGGAAAATTCATTTTTGTAGGGAATATTTCAAATCTTCTCCCTTTTCTTTCACGCAGGCCACCCAGAGATTTGGACTCCAAAGCCTGCATCTCTATTGGTGAGGAGGTAAGGCTGAGAGACCTTTGGGACCAGAGACCATCCTGGGCTGGCTGCTTGTGAGATTCACTTCAACCCCCCCAAAAAAGGGCAGAGGATTAAATCCCAGCTATTATAATTAACACAGCCCATTTCACCTGAAAGAAAGAGCAGTTTCTGGAGGAATAAAAGCTGAGACGATCCAACTGGGGAGCTCATGGGGGCTTGTGAGCCACGTGCAGCCATAAATATCCAAGTGGCCCCTGGTGTTGGTGCTCCTGCAGCCAGGGCTGTGTGGGTGGGACCCCAGAGTGGCCCTGTGGCCAGCTGGAGCTGCTGCTTGGCACTGCCCTGCTGACGTGCCCCCAGCACCCACCCCTTCCCTCCCATGGCACGTGGGCTCCCTTCATATTTTCCACTGTGGAAATTCCTTCCTTGCTGCACTGAGGTGCAGCTAATCCCCTGGAAATAACCATTATCAGGCAAGGGGGTTGCTGACAGAGGTGTTTTACTCTCCTCTGCAGTTCCTTTGCTGATTTAAAGCCTTCACCCCAAAATATTTCTCTTTGCTGATATTGAAGGTCAGTCTCCTCAAGAGCTGAACTCAGGGTTCAGCTTCCTGCTCTGGAGTCAAATCATTCTGACAGCATGGAAACCAATCCACCTGAATTAAAAAAAAATCAGGGAAAAAAGTCCATGGACAGTTATTTTGACAGGAGAGAAAGGCAGAGCTGAATTCAAAAAAGCACTTTAAAGCTGGACAGTAAATATGTGAGGTGTGAAAGATAGGCCTTGGTGTCAGTGAGGTAATTTATGCAGTGAAATGCTAACCCAGCAGTGGTTTGAAATTCCTAATTTTGGAGGCTTTGCTTTCATTTTGGATTTTGTGTTCGGAGCAGGGGCTGGGAGGTGGAAGCATGGTGCAGCAGGGAGGCAGAGCAAATGCCTGCTCCAAGAAAATCACCTGTCCCTGCAGTCCCAGCAGTGAGGGGAGGCTCCAGGGCTCCCAAAATGCTCCAGGAGCAGTGAGGGCAGGCTGGGTGGTGCAGAGGGAACCCCACTCAAAGCTCCATTTGGGAGGAACTCCACTCGCAACCCCAGAGGAGGGGAGCCCCACTCACAGCCCCCAGTGGGAACCCCACTGAGAGCTCCCAGAGGGGAACCCCACTCACAGCCCCTAAAGGGAATCCCACTGACATCCCCAGAGGAGGGGAACCCCACTCACATCCTCCAGTGGGAATCCCTCTCACATCCCCTAAAGGGAACCCCACTCACAGCCCCAGGGCTCAGGCTGTTCTCCAGGCACAGGTCTGTGCTGCCTCACAGGGTCTGGCACACTTTATTTTGCATTTCCCCTGGCTCTGTGACCTGTTTATCCAGGTTCCTTTAGGATGGGCACGAGCATTTCCACACCCCCCCCCAATCCCAAGGGGAAGGAAGCCACTTTCCCAAGGCTGGGAGTTTATCCCAGCTGGGGAAGGGATGCACAGGGGGAGGATGTGCCAGGCAGGGCTGCACAAGAGGGGCAGCAGGGCTGCACTTGGGGAGCTGCAGGGCTGCAACTGGGGATAGCAGGGCTGCAATTGAGGGGCAGCAGGGCTGCAATTGAGGGGCAGCAGGGCTGCACTTGGGGAGCTGCAGGGCTCTACTTGGGGACCAACAAGGCTGCACTTGGGGAGCAGCAGGGCTGCAGGTGGGGAATAGCAGGGCTGCAACTGGGGGGCAGCAGAGCTGCAATTGGGATAGCAGGGCTGCATGGGGGAGGCACAGCACAGAACGTTGGGGGGGAGCAGGGCTGCAATTGGGGGGTAGCAGGGCTGCACTTGGGGGGCGCAGCTCAGCTCAGCCCAGCCCAGCCCAGCTCAGTCCAGCCCAGCTCAGTCCAGCCCAGCTCAGCCCAGCCCAGCCCAGCCCAGCTCAGCCCAGCTCAGCTCAGCTCAGCTCAGCTCAGCTCAGCTCAGCCCAACCCAGCTCAGCTCAGCCCAGCCCAGCCCAGCCCAGCCCAGCCCAGCCCAGCTCAGCACACACACCCAGGCCCCGCTGCTGCCTTTTGTCCCGCAGAACTTTGAGGTGAAGGCCGATGACCTGGAGCCCATCTCCGAGCTGGGACGAGGTGCGTACGGGGTGGTGGAGAAGATGCGGCACATGCCCAGCGGGCAGATCATGGCAGTGAAGGTAGAGTGAGCCTCGGGGGCTTCTGTCCTTTCTGGGGTGCTGGGCACACCTGTAATCCCCCTTGTTCCTTTCCTGACATTTGCTGCTTTCCTCATCTTCTTTCCAAACAGGGAGATTTGGGTGGTTTAACCAAGAAAGGGGGGTGTTTTAAAAGCGGGGTGCTCCAGCATTGTAGTGCATCAGTCACATTGTTCACCTTTATCCACAATATTCCTCTTTGCCTAGGATTCAATACACCATCATTTTTAAAATACACACATAAATTTACATATTTTTACACATTTTAAAATATATTTACATATAATTTTACATATTTTTTCTGCTGTAGCCCCTTAGATTCACTTCATAATTATAAAGAAGGACAAATCCAATTGCACAAGAGACTCTTCTTCTTCTGGGACTTTTTCAGTCTCCTTGGAACAGGAAGTTTTTGTTGGGATTTCCGCGTTTTGCCTGCCGCAGTGGGATCTTGACTCATGGCAGGCTTGTAGATACTATCATGAAAAGTTTTCATAACAACAGCTTAGACTCATAAATTTGAAGATTAGGGAAATGGTCATGGGAAAAACTGTAGTTTGGGAAGGACCAGTTTTTGCTTGGCTGAATTTTAGTTTCCTTTCAGAGTAAGAGAAGAAGATCTGGAAACTCTGAGCAAACTCTTTGCTCCTCAGTTGTGGGTAGATTTTGCTGTGGGTGCTGGCTGGGCCAGGTCCCAGGGCCTTTGTGCTCTGCATTTGGTGTTTTTGTTTGCTTTGGTGTTCCCCAAACTGCCAAAGACCCCTCTGGGGTGATGGAAGATCTCGGCTGGGCGTGGCGGGAGCATTCAGGCTCTCTGTGATGCTGAGTTTGATTCTGTCCCATAACTGACCTGGGGTGGCTTTGGCCAGGGAGCCTGGGAGGTGTGTGTGACCTGTGCCTGCTCTGCTGTGGTGTTTGGCAGCTGAGGTCTCCAGATATTTCACATCAGGGACATCTCTTCCTGGGAGACTGGGAAATGCTCCTTTTCCAAAGCCATGGGGAACCCACGGGCTCTGGAGCCCTCCTTTGTGCCAAAACCTGCTGATGGAACAGAATTGCACTCCAAAAATCCCGGCTTCCCACCAGCCTGGAATTTGATTTCCTGCTCCTTTCTCCTCTCCAAGCCACTTCTTTCTTTTGGCTCTTGCATAAAGAGTGGTGTTTGCAGGGAAGAGCAGAACCACCAGTGGTGAGAAAACCCTGGGGTGCTCCTGCACCAAAGCTTAGAATTAAACAGAGGATTTGATCTGAGAAAAGCCTTCCAAACTTAAGTGCTAGAAGTGAGAATGTGGATTTACAGTTTAAAGCAGAGACGTGTTAATTAAGAAGAAGAAAGTTTAGAATTTCAGAGTTTAAGATACAGAAAAAATTAAAGTAGTTACAAAGGTGAACAAGGAATTTAGAATGCACTACTGTAGGTTTGTGTGCTATAACATGATTGGCTGAGAAAGCTCACACTGCAGCATGAGTCTGTAAAATGAAATATTTAAGGATTGGATCAAAAGCATAAATATCCTTTTAAATATCCCCTGGGTGCTGGGCTGGGGATGTGCCTGTGACAAGGGTGGTGACAAAGGGGTGGCATGAGGGGTGCTGGGAGTGTCCAGGTGAGGTGCCAAGGCTTGGGGCAGACCTGACCTGCTCTGCCTTGCAGCGGATCCGAGCCACGGTGAACAGCCAGGAGCAGAAGAGGCTGTTGATGGATCTGGATATCTCCATGAGGACGGTGGATTGTCCCTTCACTGTCACCTTTTATGGGGCTCTCTTCAGAGAGGTGAGGCTCCTTGGGGCTCAATTCCCACTCCTGCACTTCCTGCAAGTGCCAGGATCTCATCTCCACCTGGACACCGAGGTTTGCTCAGTCCTGGCCCCAGGGTGTGTCACTAACTGTGGCTGTGTGTGGGACAGCCTGGCCACAGCCTGGGCCCACAGCGTTCAAATTGCCCTGGCTGGGCTTCATCCATGTGGAGGAAAAGTGTGGAAAGCTCTGAAAATGAGGATTTATTGAAGAGCTGAACTTTTCCTGGCTGGGCATTGGGAGCCTCAGTTCCTGATAACTTTCTGGGCTCCTAAATCACCGTGGCTGTGCTTTGGGAAGAGTGCACCCTAAATGGTAGGGAATGTGCACAGCACTGAATTCCAGAGCAGGGAAAAGAGAGCCCAGGACAGCTCTGAATGGGTTTAAAAAACAGGGAAGGGAAGGGAAGGGAAGGGAAGGGAAGGGAAGGGAAGGGAAGGGGGAAGGGAAAAGGGAAGGAAGAAGGAAGAAGAGATATTTTGTTCAAATATCTGGGTATCTGCTTGCTTTGCTCTCCAGGGAGATGTGTGGATTTGCATGGAGCTGATGGATACCTCACTGGATAAATTCTACAAGCATGTCATTGACAAAGGCCTGGCGATTCCCGAGGACATCCTGGGGAAAATCGCAGTCTCTGTGAGTAGCAGCAGGGTGAGGGGGGAGGAAAGGGGTTTCTCTTCTAAGCCAAGTCCTGCTTACCTGAGCTGCCTGCTCTGTGTGCAGCAGGAAGAGGGTGGTCCATGTGCCAGCCCATGTGGCTGTTCCCATGTCTGGCCTGAAGTGATGTTGTGTATAAGCCACCAACGTGCCCATGCACACACGTGATGGAGAGCTGGCCCATGTGAGGTGTGGGGAGGCTCCTGCAGCTCTTTCCCTTCTCATCGGGGTCTGGAGCCCCCAGGAAGACCCCTGGATACCCACCAACACCTCAGGCTGCTGGCAGGGTGCAGGACTCAGGGGGGATGTGGTTTTCTTGCCCTCCTGGTGGCTCTGGGGGTGAAGCCAGCTATCATTTTCTCCTCCTCCTGGTGCTGGCAGCTGTGATTGACTGTGGATTTGTCGTTTCAGATTGTAAAAGCATTAGAACATCTGCACAGTAAACTCTCCGTGATCCACCGAGGTGAGTGCCAGGCACACACTGCCCTGCTCTCAGCCTGGCAAGGGCTCCCAAAATACCTGAGATAAAGCAGAAATACTCCCCAGCATCTCAGGACCTGCAGCAAAACCCAGGCAGAGGAGATGGCTGCTGTTTGCTCCTTAAAATCTGCTGCTCCCAGTGTTTCCCTGAAGGGGAGAAGGGGCTGGCAGAGAAAGGAAGAGCTGCTTCCCTATACCCATGACCTAAACCCTAAACTCATGGTCTGCTTCATCACCTGGCTGAAATTCAGGCTTTTCCCCCTTTCTCCTTGGAAGGCTTTGGAGCAGGCTGTGCCCAGGTTTGTCCCCCAGCTCCGTGGCTCTGTGCTGGTGTGCAGTGACAGGGGATGTTGGAACCCTGGGTGCTGAGAATTTGGGACTTTCTGTGCTGACAGGCACTGACCCCCAGGAGAACACTGCATTTGACCTGAGGACATAAAAAAAGCTTCCAAAATGGAATGACAGAACTGTGATTGTGGGTGTGGAGTTTGGATAGAAGTGTGTAAAATCACAGGGTGGAAAACTCAGAATTTAAGGTTTTAGAATATAGTAACATATATATATATAATTTTATATATATATAAAGTGTATAAGTTTTATATCTGAAACTCCACAAAGGATCTCCCTGCCAGCCTCTTCCTCCTGCACTGCTCCAGCCATCCTCACCCCTTCCACGAGCTTCCCTGAGCACCAGTGCAGCAGAGCAGCCTGATACCTAAATCAGCCTCAGATGAAATCATGAATCCCCTCCTTAAACTCTTCTGATGTTTTCCCCTCTGGAGAGTCTCAAAGCTGCCGTGAGCACACTCAGAAACAAATCTGCAGTTGCTGCTTGACACATTTATTTTTAAAGGGTCATTTTCAATTTGTCCTGAGGAGGAAGGAGCCCTCCTGGAGGGTGTGAGTGCCTGGGAAGCAGCAGAGTTCAGCTGGAGCTGGCAGTGGCACTGGCTGTATTCTTCCTGTGCCTGGGGCTTGACTTTCTGCCTCTGTATCACTTACAGGAGGTGGATAGCCCTTCTTGGCTGCTGGGTTTCTGTGTGTACTGGTTTGATTTCCACTGAAAATTGTCTTATTTCAGCGTAGTGGCAGATGGGTGAGAGGATTTTGGATACCTGATTGCAGAATGCTGATTAGAAAGCAGATATTAATGAGCTGTAAACCCACAGTTCTAATAAGCAGGACTCAAACACAGCTTCTATCATCCTTCAAAGGGTGTTTCAGCTCTTCCATTTAATTCTTTATCATGTGGAGACAGAGGATCTTCAGGAAGTGACCTGTTATTTCTGGGTGGCAGCAGAGAAAGGATTGCTCCCTTTGGAGCATCCCAGAGAAAGCAGGGTCACCTGTGCTGGAATTCCATTTGGGGTTAGCCTCAGAGAGCAATTCCCTGCTCTGCAGGAGAACACCTCCATGCTCCCCTGGGTGTCACCTCCTGGCACCTCTGGGTGCCTCAATTCCCCTTTCTGCTGGGATTGGAGCTGCCCTCAGGAGCCTGATGAGCACAGCAGGGATTTGTAGAGCCACGATGGGCAGAGATAAATCTGGCAGGAGCACAGAGATGAGACTGGCCTGGTTTCTGTGGGGTGTGGAGCTCCCACTCCCCTGCTGCTGCTCACGCTGCAGTCGGGCATTTTGTCCTTAAAATCAGCAGCCAGAGGTTTCTGAACCTTGGATCCTTGTCTCAGCTTACTGCTCTCTCCTTCCCCTGCAGCCCTTTCACCCTTTCCTGCCCCACATCCTTCCCCCACGGCTTGTTCGTTTTGATGGCATGACTCCAGACCCACGGGGCCTTGCCAGAGCTCCAGCCCTTTGCAGACATCCCATGGGATCACCCCGTGGAATCACCCCACAGAATGACCCCACAGAATCACCCCACAGAATGATCCCACAGAATCACCCCACAGAATCACCCCACGGAATCACCCCACAGAATGACCCCACAGAATCACCCCATGGAATCACCCTGTGGAATCACCCCAGAAATGACCCCATAGAATCACCCATAGAATCATGCACAGAATCACCCCACAGAATTACCCCATGGAATCGCCCACAGAATGACCCCACAGAATTGCCCAAAGGATCACCCCACAGAATCACCCCATGGAATCACCCCATAGAATGATCCCACAGAATCACCCAAAGAATGACCCCACAGAATGACCCCACACAATCACCCACAGAATGACCCCACAGAATCACCCCACAGAATCACCCCACAGAATCACCCCACAGAATCACCCCTAGAATCACCCACAGAATTGCCCAAAGGATCACCCCACAGAATGACCCCACAGACTGACCCCACAGACTGACCCCACAGAATGACCCCACAGAATCACCCCACAAAATCACCGCACAGAATCACCGCACAGAATCACCCCTAGAATCACCACAGACTCACCCACAGAATCACCCCACAGAATCATCCCACAGAATCACCCCTAGAATCACCCACAGACTCACCCACAGAATCACCCCTAGAATCACCCACACTCGCCCACAGAATCACCCACAGAATGACCCCACAGAATGACCCCACAGAATCACCCCACAAAATCACCCACAGAATCACCCCTAGAATCACCCACAGACTCACCCACAGAATCACCCCTAGAATCACCACAGACTCACCCACAGAATCACCCACAGAATCACCCACAGACCCACAGAATCACCCAAAGAATGACCCCACAGAATCAGCCCACAGAATGACCCCACAGAATGACCCCAGAGAATGACCCCACAGAATCACCCACAGAATCACCCCACAGAACGACCCAGCCCCACGGCGCTGCTCCCTGTGAGCTCCGTGATGTCCATGGCCGCTCCCTGAGCAGTGGGATGTGCTGGGGGGTGCAGAGTTCCCTCCTGCTGCCCTGGACCAGGGAGGGGAGTGTGTGCAGGGACACTGGCAGGATGCTGACAGGCCCTGCGGCTGTCACCTGAACACCGGTGGGATTTTGGCTCTGCTGGGCTGCTTGTGCCCTCTGCTGATAGAACCCTCTGTGGCTGCTTGTGGCTTGGCCCAGGCACCCCCAGGTGACAGTGCCTGTGCTCTGTGTTCCTTCTTGCAGATGTAAAGCCCTCTAACGTGTTGATCAATACGCAGGGGCAGGTGAAAATGTGCGATTTTGGGATTAGCGGTTACCTCGTTGACTCTGTTGCTAAAACCATGGATGCAGGATGCAAACCCTACATGGCTGTAAGTTGAGAAGCTGCTTGGGGAGCAGCCAGAGGAACGTGAGCCCGGGGGGAAGGATCAGCCTCCAGCAGCCATCCTGGGGATTTGGGTAGCCCTGAGTGAAGGGATACAGCCCCCTGGGGAGGGGAGGCAGATCTCATGGCTCAGATCTCATCTGGGCTTCCTGCTGCCTCCTCGCCCACCTGGGACCTTGGGGAAGGCTCTGGGATTGCTCCCATTGCTTGTTTGCCTTTTGCCCCGTGGGGACATGGGGAGGAAAACCACCCAGGGACTGGGAGCCTTGGGCTGCTCCTGGGAGCTGCTGTGCAGGGCTCACCCTTCACGGAGCACTTGATCAGGGTGAAAACAGTCCTGGAGAGCTGGGGCTTGTCAGCCCCTTTGTGCCAGCTGTGCCAGGTCAGCTCCACCACCCCAGCCCCTGGTGCAGGTGGCTCCTGGTTCTGGTGGCCCATTTCACTGCCTGCCCTTCCTGGTGGGGATGGGGAGCCTGCACAGCCAGGAGGGCGAGGTGGGGTGTGGGCTGAGGGGTGCTGTGCTGCCACCCTGCGAGACCCACCCTGGGCGTGGGCAGGGCTCTGGGGGCATCCCTGCTCCTCACCCACCTTTGTCTCTGTTGGCAGCCTGAGAGAATCAACCCGGAGCTGAACCAGAAGGGATACAGCGTCAAATCCGACATCTGGAGCCTGGGGATCACCATGGTAGGGCCAGCTGGGGGATGCCAGGGCTGTCACCTGGGGATCACCATGGTAGGGTGACCTGGGGACTGCCAGGGCTGTCACCTGGGGACTGCCAGGGCTGTCACCTGGGGACTGCCAGGGCTGTCACCTGGGGGCTGCCAGGGCCACCAGGAGGGCTCGGTGTCCCTCATGGGTTCATTTTCCTCCCCACAGCGATCCTGGTGGCACGGGGTGGGAAGGGGGAGAGCTGGGGAAGGTGCCCCGGGGTTGGAGGGAAGGAGGAGGGAGCTGCTTGGTCAGCTCCTGGCTGCTGTGGGATGTGGAGCTGCAGCTGCCGGGAGATGGCAGCATGGGCTAAGGCATGATGGATTCCCAGCCCAGAGAGTCCTCCCAGCTCTCAGCCATTCACAGAGGCCCCCTTGGGACAGCAGGGACGGGGGCGGCTCCCAGGCAGTGTTTTGGGGGAATCCATCTGCTCCCAGAGTGGTTCCACAGCACAGTTACCCTGTGCAGGATGGGGCTGGCTTGAGCTGCCAGGGGATTGTGACAGGGATTGCCTGGGCAGCTGGCTGGGGCTCCTCCAGCCTCTCCTGTTTGCTGGGGGAGGATAAGCAATGTGCTGTGGCCAGGTGGGGTGAGGAAATCATAGAATCCCAGAATGGTTTGGGTTGGAAGGGGCCTTAAAGAGCATTTTATTGTACCCTCTGCCATGGCAGGGACACCTTCCACTGTCCCAGGCTGCTCCAAGCCCTGTCCAGCCTGGCTTTGGACATTTCCAGGGATCCAGAGGCAGCCACAAGCCCTGTCCAGC